GCAGGAATGGTTGGTGACAAGATGTCCACCCTTAATTCAGTATGAATATATTTTTGAACATGTTGCTTACCTTTATCCCGCCTTAAATGAGAATGTAAGCGATATCAAATAGTAGAATTGTGACCAAACATATTACAATGAGAGCAATAAGGAGGGTGTGGTTCTAATTCAACGTTTTGCCAATACTTTTTTGTGAGTGGATCCAATATATTCCTCATTCGGAGCTTTCGGAGCTGGTTGGGTGATATCTCTCTCAACTAACACACAAGCCACAGAGGGTATGATGATAGCAAACGCAAGACTATCAACATTGAGAGACTTACCGTAAACAGTTGCTAAGGAGTAGAGAATTTCAAAGTTGAACAGATTTAGTTTTAACCCCGGAAATTTAATCCAAACAGGAATGATAGGGGACTCCGCTTTTGGATCAAAGCCAACAGTTTATTTGAGGATTTTCATAAAACGGTTGTCAATCTTGATTACCTTAGAGAAAAAATACGAGTGTAATCCGCATCATGAGATAACTGAATAAGTATATGACGGCCGTCAAGTAAGTTGATATTCCAATTACCCGATAGCTTCATAACATCAAAATCTTTCCGAATGATATCAAATTTAGAATGACCATAAAGGAATTTCCCACTAGAGCAAAACGTCAAGAAGACGCAAGAGTAATGATTTCAACCTTAGAGAGAAAAAGAGCAAGTTTCTCATTTTTTTACCAAACTTTTTAATGAAAGTGTGATTACCACCACCTTCAAGAGCCTTATGGAAGGATTGTGGAACAATGCAAGACTTAACGATAATACCAAAACCAGGCTCTGAACCTGAAATAGGGCACGGGTAGGATTGTTGCCGGAAAATGCAGTGGCATAAGAACGGAGCTTCGAGGTCATCTCCACTAGGTAAGATACGACCTTAGTCTGGAGCGGCGAAAGAGTAAAATCCGAAGGAGGATAAGCGGAAACCCCTTATTCAAAGTCGAGCAGAGGAAGAAGTAACGAAAAAGCTGCACCCGACTCGTAACAGGCGCTGCTCGATGAAAACGACTGAACAGAGCCGAAGCCCTTCGTCATTGGACAGGACGAAACGATGGCACAAATGTGTCAGGAGGAGGAGACGACGTGCGAAAAAGCCGAAGGAGTGAAGCCCTTCGTCGTCAAGTACGACAAGGCCTTCGTTGTCGAGCACGATGAGATCGATGGATTGAAAGCCAAAAGATTTAATGCAAGGAATCGCCATCGGGCGAAACCCTAGCAGAGCTGCCCGCCACCGACGCCATGATATATATATATATATATAGAGAGAGAGAGAGAGAGAGAGAGAGAGAGAGAGAGAGAAAAGCATAAGCATGGATAATTTCAGGCATCCTATGTGAATGAAATGTGGAACTTGATTTCGTTCATATGAGATTAAAATTTCAAAGTCTAAAATCTGTGTTTGGCAATCTCCTTGGTAAATGATGCCATAGAATTCAAGTTTTAAAGGCAATGTTAACTTTGGGATTTAAACAATTAGCAATTTAAAAAAAATAAATTAGCAATCTTTATCAATATCTTTTTATTTTTGGAACAAAGTTATCACATGTCCATGTAAAATTTTCTGTTAGAAATGACTTTCTTCGTAAACCATTCAATCTTCATAAAGTATTCAGTTGTGTTGGAATTACTATTATGTTCAAATCCATGAATACTCTAAACGGTAATCTCTTACCTGAGTGTATAAGTAGTCGGTAATTATTAAAAGCATCCTAAATTTAGAAATAAGATTATCGTGGCATTATTTCCTATAGTTTAGTAATAAGATTATCCTGAATTTAATTTAAAGTTTAAATTCTTGTTTAGAAATTTTTGTATAAATTAAAAATTTTAAGCTTATCTTGGCATGACTTTGTGTGTGAGTGTGCGCGCGCGCGCGTGCGTGCCTGTGCGTGTGTGTACACACGTGTGCATGTCTGAGCATGGGCACACACAAGCACGTCCTGTATTTAATTTAAAGTTTAAATTGTTGTTTAGAGATGTCTGTATAATTTAAAAAGAGAGCAGGCATCTAGAATTTAATTTAAAGTTTTTATTCTTGTTTAGAAATTCTTTATAATTTAGAAAGAGTGAAGTAGCAAATGAGGGGTCTAAATGATGATTATTATGACAAAGATAAGATGGGGACTCATATAGGGTAATAGGATGCTAAAAGAGTTGGCTTGTGGAGAATCTGAAGTATGTTGTAGAATTAACAAGAATGACAAGCATAAAACTTGTAGAGGATCATGTCGAACGAAACTAAGCATCTTGCAATTCATATATAAAAAGAAAGAAATGTCCAAAATACTAATGAATGAGAGGCTATATAACCAAAAACTTACAGATTAGTGAACTTTTGTTAGGTTTTGTTGCATGTGTGTTGGGTAGGTTAACTTTGAGTAGTGAAAGGTTTTGAGAAGAAATTCCATCCACAATAGTTGCCAAATAAACTATGGAAACCCAAAAGTGCACATCATTGAAAATTTATGGATTCATCGGCCTTGATCTTCATCACAATACTGATTATCATCTTATTGAAATGCTGATGATGATTCCAAGAATATTTTTCAGCTTTCATATCCATTTGTGTTAAGTGAAATTGTTTGATATCAATTGATGTTAAGTGATGCAGTAGAAAATTTGCAGAAGATTTAAAAAAAAGTGAAGAAAATAGAGAAGATTTGCAGAAGATTTGAAAAAAAGTGTAGAAAATAGAGAATCCTTCAAGCAAATTGATTATGAGAAATCTTATGTCTTAACATATGTTCAGTTACTCTCTTCCATAATTTTAAAGTATGACACATCAACTTATCCCTATATAATTTGTACTCTTCATTTGAGCACTCTTCTGCCATCCCCTTTATTCTAAAAAATGGGGACCAAAATATTCTTCCTCAACTCCCCAGACATCTTTTTAGTTTTTAAAATAATATTAAATTGTTTAGTAAGCTAATAAACTCTCAAATCTCCTAAATATTTCCACACTTCAACTGAGATATCATCAGGTCTTACAAAATTTCCACCATTGGTTTTCTTTATAGCCTTCTCAACTTCTTTTTTACTAATGTGATGGTAAAAATGAAACATTTTATTACTATTAACGATATTAAGATCACTAAGGTCGATCGTATTTCCCGAAACATCATTAAAAAGTTTACCAAAATAACTCATCCACCTATTTTGAATATCTTTTTCTAAGAAATGCAGTTTTTGATTTTTCATCTCTAATAAACTTTACTTGAGTTACATGTTTACTTTCTTTTTTTTGTTTGGCTAGATTATGCATATATTTTTCATCCTTTTTAGTATCTAATCTATTATAAAGATCAATAAAACAGAATTTTTAGTGTCACATATTGTTTTCTTAGACTCCCTACGAGCCGTTTGATATTTTTCCCAATTTTCTAAGCTTTTACATTTAAACCAATTTTTATAACATAACTTCTTATATTTCATCTTTTCTTGCACATTATTATTCCACCGTCAACTATTTTTATTTATAGAAATATTTTCTTTTGCTTCTTCAAGTACAATTTTTTCACTTGTTTAATAGTGTTTGTTACTTTATTCCACATAGAATGTGCTTCTTCATGAACATCCCAAATTTTGAAATACTAAATTTTATTCGTAAGAATAATTTTATTTGTATCTTTTAGGTACCCTCATCTAATTCTACGATAATGATTCCTAATATTTCTTATTTTACAACTCTAAATTTAAAATCTAGTACTAATAATCTTTGTTGAACACTTAAATCCTCACTTGGAATGACCTTACAATTTTTATATTCTCGACGATCTCTTTTTTTCATAA